GACACAGTGTGCAGATTCATCACAGACAGCATCTCACATTGAGCACGATCAGAAGGAGGAGAAGGTAGTAGGAATGAACAGAATTTTGAGAAATATTTGAGAAATACTCATTGAACATTACTACAATTTCAGATTAATCTTTTAATGAAACCAAAGCAGGTGTTTCCTTCATGGGACTGGAAGTGACCTGCAGGCAAGCGAGGTGTGTGAAAACAGACTGCAGTTCTGGGGTGAGGTTCAGGCTCATCCACAGCAACTTCAACTGTTTCTCTGTTATCTATTTTATCGCAATAAGCAGCAGAACATGGCAGACAGCCTGCAGCCCTCCAGAGGTTTACAGGCTGCTTTGAATATGCAGATTCTCTGTGTTTATGTTCTAGTAACACAATCACCACAGAAAGGGACTAGAAGTCCTTCCCGGGGCTGAGATGTCACCAGTGCAGCGAACTGGTTTGACGCTGCTGCTGAGCACGCTTAGACACTGGAATTTCACCCAGATCTCACCTATTTTAATGCCCGCAGTTTGTACACGGGGCCGTTTACAATCAACCCGGGTATTTTCAGCTGGTTGGGGCCTATGCACTAACCACAAGTAAGAGTTCAGAGAAGCTCTGTATTTATTCTTTCCTGAGTGTCATAGTGTCCCATTAAGCAAGGACGAAAGATTTCCTTATGTAACAGGGATACTATTTGTTATTTTTAACCTTATAGCAGCCAGGATTTGTGCCAGGTGGCATTTTGCCTTAACCAGGCCACTCCAGGAGGTTCCATTCCCGACTGTCATCCTTGCCCTCTGGTATGTTTGATGCCCATACATGGCTTCTTGGCTGTCTGCCATCATGTCTATCTGCTAGCATATATTTGTGACAGCTCACGGAAACACCAGTCTTATTTAACAAGGTAAATCAGGGTGCTGCTCAGTCATTTCCAGGATCCTGCACAAGCTTCTGCTTCTAATAAAGGCTACTATCTTTGTGAAGTCCATGAAGTCTATTTACACGTATCCATGCTACCAGAGAAACACTATCACTATAGCTTAAGCTTTCAATATGTCAAAATAGCTTTAAAACAGTTTGTTTAGTCAAATTAAGCTCACAGAACATAGACAAATACAATGGTTGCAACTCTCAGCAGCCCAAGACTGAAAATGAGCAGCAAGGCCAAGGAAGGCGTTAAGCTGTGGGCTGAGCATCCCGAGCAGCCTCCTGTCTCAAAGTGCTCCACGGACAAACACCGCTGCCCACTTGGCAAATTCCATAAGCAGCATCACTGTACCAGAGTCGGGCAATTTCAGGGAGCTTAAAAAAGCCTGGCTGGGTCAAAGGATGTTTCCAAAGCCTGCTGTACCTCCAGCCCAGTACAGGGAAACACAGCGTCAACATCCTTTGGGTCCAAAGGAGCTCAACAGCAAACGGTGATTTTCACAGTGCTGTAGCTAGGTCTAGCTATTTATAAGCAAATGAGGGTGACAGATCCTGTGTCCCATGGCTTACAGTTTTATAAAATACACGTGGGACCGTGAGGAGTATAGACGTAAGTTGTCACAGCAAAAGGCTACATAGCATTTCAATTAGCAGCAAACCTTCTTCAAAAAATCTGAATAACTAAAGCTAATAGGAAATGTAACTCCACCTTCCTATGAATAGAAGGGTAACTGGTAATCTTTAACTATGTGCTCATGTAATTTAGGGGTTTTTACTTGTTTGCTTCTAACACAATCCCCTTTCATTCAGTCTCCAGGCTGGAGGCACAGAGAGGTAGAATTTTAATTCTTCTGGTCATTTATATACATGTGGCATTTCTTGACCTTTAAGGATTCGATTTTGAAACCTATTTAGCTTTTTTGCGTAGGTGTTTTCGTGGGTTTTGCAGGGGAATTTCAAAAATTTTCTGCAGGGCGGGGGGGGGGAATCAATAAGAGATGAGTGTTCTTGTTTTTAACCAAAGGGCCCTCCCTCTGTGTCTGTAACACCAATCAAACTTTCTGAGCAGCACAAGCTTCTTATTCAGCTTTGTTTTGACAAAGAAAGATAAACCACTGTTTTGCTTTACCCTTCCCCCACCATTTACTCATTAGTTTTATTTAGTTTGGTATTCACTGCTCCTTGTAGGGGAAAAAAAACCTTATTTAAAAAAAAAAATATTTTTGGTCATATAATGTTCTTGACTACTATGTTCTTATGAAGAATTTAAAATAGAATGTAATTATAAATTACTGCTAAAATGAGCTTGTCCTGCAAATGCAAGGACATTTAATTGTGTCCTTGTATGACTGGAATCACTGTAAACAACTAATATTCCTACTTGCAGGGACAGAAATAACTAGCTCATTCAGCTGTACAGAAAGGAAGACATAAAAGGAAACCAAAGGCTAAAGCAGAATAAGCCACTGGAAAGATTTATGTCAACAAAACTGGATTTAAATTAAGTAACATCAATTCAGTATTTTGCCTGCAAATGAATCAGAACATTAAAGCATGTTTTAAAGGGAACATTTGTGATGAAACATCTATGAGTAGTTCCTATACTAAATGAATAGGAAAGTTCCTACTTACTTCTGGTGTGCAGGATCAAATCCACACAGCGAAGTTATTTCTTCTACCTTTAGTACTGATTTGTAGACCTAACTTTTGAAAATGAGAATAGCAGCAGAACTGCAAGGAAAACACTGAATAAATGATTTATCAGTTATATACAAAGGAAAATACAGCACTGATGACATAATCATACTACATATGCGTGAAGGAGGAAAATTAAAATTACAATTTCCATTTTTATGCTAATTTTCTGAGTGCTTGACTTCACAACTTAAATCTCTGTTATGTTTGGGGTTTTTTTTCTGACACCGATTTGCAGAAATGTGAGTAGATTTTAACGTTTGTTACTTTTCCTTACTCTGTGGTAAAAGATTATTAAAAAAATATATGAAAAAAAAACCCGAGCTCAAACCAAAGAATTGCATTTCTAAGCTATTTGAAATAATGGGAGATGAGTCAAGAGTTGCCTTGCTTTCAAATCAGAAACACTGCAGAGCTATTCTCCAGTGAGAGGAAATAAGGAAATAAATTACACATTCAACAACTACGGCACACCCTTTCCAAATAAGAACAGAGAATTCATTTACCCAGTACTTTTACAATGGTGATAGCAAACTAAAACTGTGAGCACAGTGGAGAACCAAGAAGATAGACAATCCATAGCAAGGATCAGCCAAATTAAAGGGAACTTTTTACATTGTCAATTTTTGAGTAATTAGTACTTCCATTAGAGGCACAGTTCCAGCTTTAAGCAATTCTAAGTAATAAATGTTCCTTTATTTTGCCTATAAGTCCTGACTTCAGCATTCTTTTAGGATACAAATTCTTCCAGCCAGAGCTCCACAATACAGATTAACTAACTAGAAGACAATTAGAGTAGGCAGATGAAGATGTAATTCGTCAGTCTGTACATACTATTACTTCTAGCTTTGGATGAAATTTTTATTAACGCAGTAGACTGATCTAAATGGAGACAGAGACATGGTTTTGTCCTGTCTGTATCCACAGATTACCTAAGCAACAAGCAATGTTGAGATTTGAAAATTCTGTGAGACCAAATGATAGAACAAAGTGAATGAAGTGCCAGATTGTATTTTCCTGTACAGCTTTGACCAGCTACAGGAATTCAGTAACTGATTATACAGCTAACAATTTAAAAGACATAATTTAAAAATCTTGCTATACTTATTCATCACACAGTGTAAATCCCTAGATTAAAATGCCAAGCTGAGCAGGAAGGAGAAGCTAGCACATGGAAAAGAAGAATTTGATTAGCAGAGATGTTACTGAATTTGCACACTGTGTTGGGTAAACTGTCTGGGTCCTCACACTTTTGTCTTTAACACAGGCCTAGCAATTCATGTCTCCCAAAAATGTGTTTGCTTTTGCATTTCAGGGGTGTTTTGAAGATGACTTGTTTGCCAACCAGCTGAAGATTCTTCAAGAAAAGGGGCAAAGTGAAAAGGAAAATGCAATTAAGAGTCCTTTCCTATTTACACTGCAAAACCAAGTATGAGACAACACTAAACTATTTCATATTGAGCTTAGAAACCCAAGACATCTACAGTAACAATACAAAGCAAAAGTTTTACAAGCCTTTTACCCAGTTTCAAGACACCACTGACCATTGAACAGTACCATACACCAAGCAGCACATGGCAGAAAACATCATACTTTGCTTTCTCTACTGAACACAACCATAGCAACAATTACCTTAGTTTTAAGCTTCTGAATTTTCCATCACTGCACAAGAAGAGCCCAAAGGCCACGTCCTTCACCTAGCAATCCGTAGCACTTGAAGGGAAAGTTGGACCCCCGCTGAAGAAGAGGACCATACAATCAGGACTTCACTCACAGAGGTCTATTACTGCACTAGTGACAGCCTCTGTTTTTTTCCAAATGTTACGTTCACATGGACTCCAGATTGGCAGGCCTTATGTCCTTTTAATATTAACTGATATAAAAAGAAATACGGCATTCTTGATATACAAGGCCTCTCTCCTCACAGATTTATCAACATTTCCACATGGTCAGGACCAAGGTCCAAGAAAGGCAAATCTTGCCAAATCTGTCATAATCATTAAAAGTTCATATCTTTTTGCCTGGACTTACCTTTACAATCTTTTTTACAAGTCTCTTCCAAAATACAGTTGCGACGTGCTTGTGCTTTTAAGCTACAAGGTATATTAAGGGCACAATGAGGGCCCACATTTTTCTGTGATAAACTAGAAGTGGAGATTTTCAAATATCTTAAGAGAAAATACAAATTATTCTCTGACACCCAAAACATAATAATAAAGTTGCAAAAAGACACAAAGAAAGCTTCATCCCTGAGAATCCCTATTTTTTCTGATGAAGAGGAAAAGTATCAGCTTCTGCTTGAAGTGACAGTAGTTTTCCCCAACTGCATATTCTCAGACATAAAATATAAGACCCAATGATCTTTTATGAGTTTGCTATATGTCAGTATCACTTCTTTTTATTACAGATCCTTTTCACCAACTTTTACACTGGAAGATCAGTCTTATATAGCTTTGGGCCTCAGAAAGGCTTTGATACTGCATGAATGCTCTGCAACCCCCATCCAACTGTTACCCCATGGTACAGGAGCAGGACCTCAGCAGCTCAACAGAGAGGCTGGCCACTGCTGGATGCTGCTCATCGTTGTGTTAAACTCCATCACAGTTATTGTGCTAGAGCAGGGCATGCTGGTCTCTAGCATTTTTGGCTGAAAACCTCGTCTTCAAGATGTTGGAAAGCATTAAAGTATTTGTTATTAGTAATAGATTTCATCTTTTAAAGATCTGTGGTAATCCATGACTGTGAAGGCTGTCAAATGCACTCAAATGCTTCTTACTGAAAAATTAGGCCTGCGTATCCATAGATCCTCTCCGTCTTCACCCATCCAAATTAAGGCCGTAATTCCCAAAGACAACCACTCTTCCCAAACAGTACACATTTCATATAGTTGTTATTAATAAAGTATGAACAATGTTTGCAGAAACATTAAAGATTCAGGTCAAGAACACTGTCTGAATACAAGTGTTCTTAAATAAGCCAATCATCCAACTTTTGAGTAATTAATGTCCTTGTTTTTTTACTTGAAAGCCTCATTTTCAGCACATTCATTGGAGACAAATGTCCCACGTCAAAGCGAATGAACACAAATTAACTTTTGGGCGGCAATTACAAGAGATAGATGAAAATGCAACATTGGCAGGCTAGATACAAAATGTTACAGCACAGCATTTCCCATCGTAGGGTAAGTTTAGGTACAGTCAGATGATTACACTACATATAGTCAAAGGATTTGATCTGTTTCCATCTGTGCATTATCTGAATATCTAAACAATTGCCATAATGCATTTGAGAACTTTAAATATAAAAGGAAAACTAACACAGCTGATAGTATCTCCAGATCACCGTGTGAAGTACTAATAAGCAACTGCGTTATACAACTCGTGTTCAACAGACTGAAAATGATCTTTCCCAAATCCAAATGACATACTTCTAAAGCTGAAAGTGATAGATTACAGCTGGCTGAGCAAGCACTATACTGTATGCTCATTTTAAAAGCTGCCATTGTAAAAGACCCTCCAGGCATTTTGTTGGTTCTTTTGCTCTTCTTAAGAACTGCAAAGCTCCTCTTATTTAACAGTAATTACAGAGGGAGGTGGAGAAAAACTAATAAGAGAGGTTTATTTTTCTGAAGATATGAAGTAAGATTACCTTTAAAAGCATGTCTATGGACCAAATATTATTTTTATTTCATCACCTCAAAACATGGTAAATATTTGCAATTGGAAAAAAATGAGTACAAAACCTGAAAATTTAGTATTAAGATTCTTATTAGAAAATGTCTTTACGACTAATTTAGAGTCTCTGTATATGACATGCTATCCTTCTCCACACCAGACAACCATCAAGACACAAAAATACTCTCAGGACAGCAGTTGCAGAACTTGTCGTATGCGCTCGCACTTCTCCAACAAGTTTGGGTCTTCTGCATCGGAACCATCGAATTCCTTCATAAAAGCTTCAGCTTTCTGCACAGTTATGTCTCGCGCACCGCCTTGAAGCCCTTGCAGATAATCCAGTAAAATAGTGAAATACTTATCTGGAACCTTTAATGAAAAAAAACAAGGAGGAATAAAACCTGATTTATTTTCTTCTCTCTCAATACTCATTCACAATAACGTCAAACTATCACCTGAAATATAATTAAGAGAACTGCACGGGCTTTTGCATTTGCCAGTGCCCACCTCTGAGTGGAAGTGTTTCTTGCCAAGGTTCAAGCTGCCGGCAGGGATGGACTGTGGTGAGAAGACTGTCATGTGCTCAGATGGGCAAAACATCTGAGAGGAAATTCTAAGCAGATGTGGAAATGCTGATCAGCAAATGCAAACACTCCCTGACAGTGAGCTCAAGGCTGTGAGGGTTGCTGGAAGAAAAAAAAAAACAACCAACCCACTAGCCAAATCCTAATTTTGGAAATATGTATGCAAACCTTACTAAATTCAGTGAGAATTGCATACATATGTCTGGGGAAAGAATTTTGTTGGAATTACCCTTGCCCCTACCCAAAATTATTTGTTTGCTAAGATGAGATACCACCCACTATCAAGCACTTTGACAGAATGCTTATACAAAGGAATAGAATTTAACTTGAAAAACAAATTGAATTCAGACATATGGAAATAATTTTTAAGTCATGCCGACTAAAACTGATAGGCTCTACGAACATGTCTGACATTAAAAGCCATTTAGTCATCTACAGTTGCATTACCCTCATTTCACTCCCTTTCTAATTAACTAGTCATAGGTTAAACTTTAGCTTATCTAGCACAGCATACACTTTAAATGATTGTTACATTAAACAGTCTTGGCAATAACTTAGCAAAGACTTTTGAATTATTTATTCAGTATTTCAAACCAATGTATTTTCAAAAGTATTAGGTGAACAGATCTACGCTGCAGCGTATCTTAACTTCAGGTTGTATATCTGTGGAACAGGTTTCAGCCAATAAGGGAATATTTTTGCTGTGAATCAGGAGATGTTAAAATGACCTAATCCTGCAAATATTTTTCTCCATGTTTAATTTTACACATATAACTTTAAAAGGCATACTTGACATGAGTCAAGTTAAACACATACGTAAGTATTTAAAGGGTTGGAGACTAATTATTCAAGGGCTGTTTCAATTCTGCGAAGTATCAACATTTCAGAGGAGACAGAGCTTCAACAGATACTTAATTTACAACCCATCGACATTTGGCAGCGTAACTTTGATCGCTAAAACTTCTATCACTCCAAAAGAAGAGGAAGAAAGAATATTCCAACACTTGCCTTCATCAATCAGGGATATTACAAAGCAATAAATCAAAACTAAAGTCTGCATTCAGGCTCATAACTTATACACTATGGAAAACCTTCAAATTCTTCACACAAACACTCTTGCGTTAAAGAAACAAAAAGACAAAAAACACACACAAAAAAATTAATTTTACAGTGACTAACACTGAAATGGATGATTGTTGCTATAATATATGAATTAAACACATTTAAACATAATGAAGAATGTCTATATTTTTGAAACCTTTTCACTCACAGTAAACTGGTACTCATAACAGACAAAAACATCCAGACACAATTCAGCATGATAGTGCTCCTTTAATGCGGATGCTCAGTACGTGGTTTTTAAAGCTCAGCAACATTTCTATGTTTCAGACTTTAGCCAAATTACCTACATAATTTACACCTCTTGTTCTCAGACCCCATGGTATAGCATACCTCACTCTGTGGAATTACAGTTATTATTATATCATTTAAGCAAAGTGCTTGAAGGGGCAATTAAAAGCCTACCCTAAACTTAGAAATACTAAGTGTGCAGACAGACATGTGGCGGCGTGAAGCCTAGAAAACATCTAGCATTTGGCCCTAAGGATAACTGCTTGAGTGTTCAAAATTCTGATTTTTTTTTTTTTTTTTCTTTAACACAGCTATTAGGTCTGTTTCAGCTAGAGTACCATGTAGGCAAGATAGTATTTTATTTCTTATGTACATTACACATACAATAGAGCCATACCAAGGACTGCAACACAGAAAGTGCCAGCAAAAAGTTAATGAAATCCAAATTTTAATTCTTCAAATACAGTAGTACAAGAGCTGAAATTTCAGGGGCTCTTGGCAAGGTTTTACAAGAAGGAACACAATCCTTCTTCTAAGATCAGCTTTCCGGCTGGCTTGAAACTGGAGATCAAGATCTCCCACCATGCTTCTGGCAAGTGGAAGAGATACCTATGGGATTTTATTATTATTCTTTTGTTAAACTGTTTTAACCCTTTTCTTGTTTCTTTTTCTCTCTCACACACACTAACCTGGCCTCTGTGCTAATGAACTAATATGGAAATATCCCAAAGTGAAATAATTATAATCAGGAAAAGGGGGAAACACTACAAAACAGTAGCGGGAAAAGAACATTTACCACTTTTAAATTATACTATGTAACTCAACAGCTTTTAGACTTTTTAGACTTGCAGATGCCGACATATTTTGCAAAGCAAATACAGATATCTGCACAGAGAACTTCAGCCTACTGCCGGCAAGCTCCCTTTTCTCAGTTTCCTTCTGAGGAAGCTTCAGAAACCCTTCCAGGGCCCTGAAGTCCAAAAGCTGAAAACAGCGATATAGTTCCTTTCTAAAAATGCTGTGCCAGATGACAAAGATCAACAAATGATCCAGTGTTTATTTTATACTGGATCCTGAAGAAGTATATACACTGTAGGTATACAGCCTTGGCTTGGAAGCTGTCAGCCAACCACCAGATGGATTTTTAAAGGGACTTAAAAAACCCCTCATGTTGCATAGAACTTTAGAACCTCAGCTTTTTCCTACAGAAAGAGGCTTACCAGTACAGGAAACTCAAGCCACTCCTTTGTGTGGCTTTTCAGTAAGCATCCAAGTGACACCATGAGATCAAAGACGTGACTTAGGAAGGAAAGAAACTCATGTCTCCTTTTGTATTTTAGTCATGCTTGGATATCCAACAGATTTTGTTCTGTAATGGACGGGAAGTTGAATTTGGGTATAAAAAATATTCAAAAGAAGCTGCTCTGCCCTCCCTACAGTCCTGATGAAGAACGAGACTTCATATGCTTAATTACAAGCACTTGAACAGTTCCACTAACTACTGAAACTGGATACAGATGTTAATCATTATCTAAAGCTCATATTCAATGCATCTCTGATTATTAAACTACAAAATATTTGAATTTAAATAAACCATAGCACTTTAATCAGATTTTTTAAAAAACAGAAAGGAAGTTTCATTTCAGTGTTGAGAAATAAGGAGTTAAGCCGTGTTTTGCTACATAACACAAATGCTAACTGCAGTTAATTATTTTCCAGTATATTTCAACACAAACCCCAAAGTAAACAGGTAAAAAAGTAGAAACATCATTCTGCTTGTAAAACAATTTCTAGTTAGCATAAATTGATTTTGAAATGTTAATAAAGACTTTTAAAGGAGAAACTTAAAAATAGAAGACCGTGCAAACAACCTAGACACCTACAATCAAATTTGTATTCTGCAACTAATCTTTTTTAAGTATTACACTGTGTGAACATTTTTGCCTTCGTGATATGCTGCTTTTAATTATCTGGTTCTCTAAATGTATTTTTAATCATAAAGGTAACACCCTATGTCAGGTGATAGGCTTAAGAGCTGCTGAGTATTTGGGTCAGGAAGATTGGTATACTTAAATGTTTAAGTGCACACAAAAAATCTGCTAAAACTAACTAAATAATAAGTAATGCACCATGCAAATGGCTAGATGTTTGTTCTATTACACAACAAAATGAATGACCTGAAACCCCCATTCAATACCACAACGGTCAGATGCTTATTGGAAATTCAATCTATGTTGTTTTTTAAATTATGAAATGAATGAATTTTAGTAATGATGAAAGCCTAGCTTCTGGTTATACTTTGTGCTTTTTACAATCAACATCAGGTTTCACTTATATTTTAATGAGAAAGCTATTTTAACATCTTGGCAATAGGGCTGTACATCTTATATGGAGCCAGAGATATCTGAAGCAATATGAGAATTGTGGTTTACAGTACTCGGTTCCACATTCAGAAATTCAAATTAAGGATATGACTTAAATTCTCAGTTAGCTCCAGATTTATATAAAACATGAATCTGCTCTTTCTGCTTGACAAGTATAAAGTATAAAAATCTGGCATTACAGGAGAACTATCACCAACAAAATAAAAAGATTGATTACAAGCAATTAAAATGATTCAGCATTTTGTTTAAAAATAAATTGATCTATAAATTATTAAAAAATTATTACAAAAGTGCATGACTAGTACTAGCAACTTTTGATTAATAAAAAATAGCTACAACTAACATATAAAACTTTGTATTGTATTTGTTCTGAGAAAAAGTAGCTTTAATACAAACCTTCTCTTTATCATACATGTGCAAGAGAAGCCAGGTTTGTCTTGTCTTTTGAAACTTCCATTCTTCTCGGTTTTCCGACCAGCTGTAGTGAATTAAAAAAAAAAATAAAATTGCTTAAGCTAAATATGTGTGATCAAAACATTCATTATTCAGAAAATATTTCCTACAAATGACTCCAAGTGACTTTGTATGCACGACATAGAGTTTCATCACATTGCATAAAACAGATACTAGCACAAATTTTGTATGAATGGCAAAAAAGAACACAAAGGATGGCTACCTGGCTTCCGTGCAAAAAATTAAAAGATTAAGGAGATATTATGACTAAAAATGTTATAAATTTTCACCAGGAAGCACTGATTCCTTCAAGTCAAAAAAACAAATCCCACTCTTCTAGCTGTGAGCAGCCCTTTATGAGAGGTCATTGTCCTCATCTGACCCACAACAACGGAGCACCCCAGATGGTTACCTCAGCTGCGGGGCTACCTGAGTATTTGGGGAGGTGGAGTGGGTGAGGAATCAAGTTGAGGTTTCAGAAAGTTTCACAACAGAAAGTTTCTGAAGTTCAGATGAAATCAAGCAGCCTCTAAAGGACTGGAAGGAGAAACTTGTGCTATAATGGTCACCTCAACAATGGCTGAAGCCCATCACAGATTACTCTTCTAGAGCAGAGAAAATCAATTTTTCAGAGCATGTGTTTTAAGGCTTGGATTTGTCTAAAGGTATGACTTAAATATTGACATTTACAGGATAGAAAAAATGCTTTTTATGTCTCGATCTCTCCAGGGATTCTGATTCCAATATTTAGCTCAAAACTCCAGGCTGCTTCAATACTGTTAAAACCGAGCAGGTAAAACAAATTATTAACATCTGCAAATGTTCTTCGACTGTTTAGCAAACACATTTTAAACATGCAAAACTTTAGCTGGGCTAAAACGGCACATTTATGTATAATCTTGATTGTGATTTTCAAGCTGGTATATTCTGGTTTAGATGAAGAAAGTGACATTTATTTCTATAAACAAGTGAGCAAACTAGCAAATCTCACTATAAAATTTAGACTGCTTTTTAAAAGTATGTGCTTGAAAATTAACATATTAACATGTACAAAATTTGTCAGTACACTGAAGTATCATTTAAAGATCCAGAAGAAAATATATATGGAGAAAAGCCAGAAAATTTTACACTTATTTGATTTTTCTCTAAAGAAAAGCAAGTCTCCAGAGGGTAGCATGCAAGATGTCTTTAATGTTCCAGCTTGTTTTACACAGCAAAAGAGAGAACAGAAATCAATTGAAAAGCCAGCTGGGTATGAGAATTAGTATTGTTTAAACACTGTCAAGTCTAATAAAGCAAAAGAGTCCTCATATTTGGTGAATGCTGCACCAGCAAATACATTGTTCAGTCAATTCAATGAAACAGAAAAAAACAAGACCACAAATTTGTACAAAAGGGTTTCATAGAAATCTCTGCAGAAAACCCAAAAGAAAAAAAATATTGCCTTGACTTTCAAATCCAGGATAAAGAAAAAGCAGCAGCAACTCATTAGGGTCATCACTAGCTAAACTCAATAAAAATGTCTGTAACCAAAATAAAAGGTGAAAATCGGACAAATAACAGTCAACCGGGAAGGACAGACAAAACACTAGTAACCACAATACATCATCTTTTACATGCTCAAATTAAATTCATATATGAACTGATTTAGAGGTCTCTGGGGACATTGTCAAGAAAGAGGCAAAAGTTTGCAAAACAAATATTGTGCAAAAGCAGGAGCCCAAAAGCTGACTGCCAAAAGTTACAGAACCAAATAAAAAAATATTATTATGGGGAAACCATTCTTCTCCCATCACCACCAACACAGAAACCAAAGTACTTGCAAAATAAAGATCATTCAACCCTTGGTGTTACTTGTATTCACAGCAAGGCGCCCAAAAGGACAACAGTGACGGCCAAAATTGCACCACCTGTAATGTGAGGAGACAACAGAAAGAAGTAAAAAGAGCTTTTCTTGTGGGTGCAGTTTGTGGCACAAGCTACTTGCTCATTTGTACCCAAATTCTCTGTTTGCCAGGCAAGTGCAGTAGCTCCTAACTGAGAAACTGGAACTTCTGCATGAAGTGACTTAACTTCTGCAAGTCGTTCAAAAAACACCCCAAACCTATAATGATGGTGCTTGCTGTTAAAAGAAACATATTCTTTTACAAGGTAAAATTGTCCTTCTGGACAATTACATGGAAGTTGTTATAAAAACTGCTGTCTATTTGCACAGTACAAAGACAGAGGTAAGTTTAAAATTCCTTTTTACGTTAAATAAGCCCGGAAACAGTTTACATTATAATCTTTGCAAGGTGACAAGAGCAAGCTGAATGACAGATCTGTGACTGCATCCTGTGCAAACAGTCCCTCTTCTAATGAAAAGCTTTAAGACATGTTTTTATTTCTTTAAAACATGCTATGCATTTATACATTTGTGATTATATCCATTGGTTAGACACACCACATCGTGCTCTGAATATTTTATTCTCTGCTAATCTTATTTTCTATCACGCTATCACCTGAGTACTGTTCGGCATTAACATGAAAAATACAGCCTGATTTCACTAATCTCCTATAAAGCCATAGGATGTTAAAATATCTTTACTACCTAGTTTATAAACAACTGAGACCAACAAATGAGTGCACTATAAGGTTAATTGCTCTTATTAGCCTATTACCAAAACCATATGCTCTCTTCTACATGTTAAGACAAGCCGTTATACTCCTGCATCTAAGATCCCACAATGACTTTCACTCTAGTGAATTCACTTGTAGAAACAAACAAAAGTTTCAGCTAGTCTTCCTGAAAGGTCTCGCTCTATATACACCATAATAATTCATATAAACAACAAATACCTTATCATAATCAACTGCAGAAAGTATGTTTGTGCACGTTATAGCACCGGAGCCTCCAAAACATTTTTCTTGCATTGCACTCTGTCCTATTAAATTCAAGTGCTAAATGAGTATGGTAAAAAAAGTAGCATGTTCCTTAATAGACTATGGGTGTACTCATATTTTCAGAAAATGCTCCCAAGTTTTTAACTTGTACTTTATCCACAGTCACATCAATTCCTGTTTCTCTCCCTTCAGCAGAATGGTCCTTCTCCTGACCTTAATTCCCATCCAACTGTGGGCAAAACGCTCATGATAATGGATGCACAGTCTTTAAGACAGATAACGTGGCAGTTGCTCCCTGTAACTAGACCTCCAACAGTTATAAAAGTAAAAGTTTTCCACTGATTCATGTGACTATGACAGCTTTTTTTCCTACTTCTGTGACAGCTTTAAAACTTATGGAAAGTATCACTCCGTGACAAAGTGAGAGGGGTATCTCCTTTTATCAGAATGACATAGTATATTTTTAGAAATGCTCAACTTATAAACTACAAAAGTTAAAGCTCTGTAACACAAGAGAGGTCTCATTTTGCTGTTTATATGCAGATAAGCTTCCTTGACATACTACAGCAGTAGAAAAGGCTTTCCATTTGAGTGATTAAATATACAGAGTAAGACCAACTACATTATAGTTTAAAAAAACCTTTTATAGACAATCACAACCTCTTTCACAGTTTGAATTAATTTGGTAGCCTTTAGAAGTATCTATGTCCAAATCTAATATAAACTATGGAACTGGATGAAAAATATACATGCATAAAACATGTATTTTTCCAGTATGCCTCAGGCTAATTTTCAATATATTGTACAAACACTAATTGCCTTCTTTACACAGTTAATGTTTGAATCTTTTTTATGAGCTCTAGCTCATTGAAAAAACACATTGGTTGACTTTAGTTAAAGAGAACTTTTATGTTTGTGCAAATGATCTTCCTAAATGGCTTTGAAATTGAAGATACAGAGGAAATGAATCAAATTAATCAAGCGGCTTAGGGAATTTTACATTTGGGCTTTTGGCTTTTAGCATGAGAGTCTCATGTAGAAAAGCTGCATAAGATTCTCACTAGTCTATCTCATAAATGACTTTCAGTCTCTACATTAATTTCACACAAATCTATTTCCAAAACATGGGAACAGAGGGAACATAAATAGGCAAACAGAAGACAACTGGTAGCATGTAGGGCAGAGTGCTCTCTGGGATGTCCTAGAGAAAGAGAAGGGGAAGAGAAAGTAGTCGAATTGGTTCCAGAAACACAGTAAGAGAAAAACATTATTGTTACAAATTGGATTCAGGAAGACAACACAATGCTTCTGCTTAGACTACTGGCCAGAACAAAACACTACAAAGCTGTCACAATTATTAAATAATCTCCTGTGTGTAGAAAAGCACTGTGCTGAGAATTAACCATTTTACTCATTCAACTTGAAAATATTATTGGGTAGGAGACAAGTCTTGGGAAACCAGAAAGCCAGCCTGACATGTGACTGGTGATAACCTTCCAGAAGACATGAGAGCACTGCTGGATGCCGAACGCAAGGACACCTACACTCACCTACATCCACTGCTCCAGTGTTGTGCCACTGACGGTCCAGCCCACCTCAAATACATCCTCCAGCCCGGGTATCTCTTCAAGGTAAAGCTGACTGCCACCCAATCTAGATTTCTCCAGCATACAACCCAGGCTTAGCATCAGAGAATTAATTAGAAAGGTTTCTCCAGCCCTGAGGACCAGGTCAGAGCGCAGCCTCCTCTTGCTCTCCTGTGATTTACCCGTGAGAACCCTTATGTCTTACTCTCTCGAGCTTCGCTGAATCTCAGAGGAACAGAGCAATGGATATGGTCCATCACTCCACATTCAAGGCTACATTGAAAAGATCTATTGAAAACGTTACCAGTAACATACTACACACACTACACAAAAATTGTCACATTCTTCCCACCTCATTTATCTGGTTACTTTTCTGTTTTGATACACACAGTTATTTATCACCCTGAAACCTGTCTTTAAGGACAACCTATGACCTTCTACATGCCCCACACGCAAGGCTGAACAGAAGTTACGGCACATGATTAAGGCTTGCAGGAATCAGGTAAAGCCCTTTATTCCCCAAGCACTCTGCAAACAGTGCAAAAGGTTTCACTTC